TGGCCTCAGGTCTCACTTGTAGCTGGGATTACAGGCGCCCTGCACACCACGGCGCCGCTGGATTTTTTCTATTTTTGTTAGAGATGGTTTCACCATGTTTGCCCAGGCTGGTATTGAACTCCTGACCTTCAGGTGATCCACCTTGCCTCGTCTCCCAAAGTGTTGGGATTACAGGGCGTGAGCCGCTGTTGCCGGCCAGATCTTGAGATGTCAGAATTTTTCTCATTGTTAAAATTTTTGCAAAAATGGTTTCAATAACTTGTGGATTGAAGAATTAAAAAGCTCAGTCTTCAGACCGGGCACAGTGGCTCAAAACGCCTGTAATCCCAGCACTTGGGGAGCCGAGGTGGGCGATCACCCTGAGGTTGGGAGTTTTGAGACCAGCCTGGACCAACATAGAAAAAAACCCGTCTCTACTAAAAATAAAATTAGCCGGGGCGGGTGGCGGAGCCGCCTGTAATCCCAGCTACTCGGAAGAGGCTGAGACAGGAGCATCGCTTGAACCCGGGAAGTGGAGGTGGAGGTTGCGGTGGAGATTGCGCCACTGCACTCCAGCCTGGGCAACAGAGCGAAAACTGAGTCTCAAAAATAAAATTGGCCGGGCGCGGTGGCTCACACCTGTATCCCAGCACTTTGGGAGGCCGAGGCGAGTGGATCACAAGGTCAGGAGATCGAGACCATCCTGGCTCACACTGTGGAAAAAACCCCGTCTCTGTTGGAGAAAAAAAGAAAAATTAGCTGAGGCGTGGCGTCGCGGAAGTGCCTGTGAGTCCCGGGAGGCTGAGGCAGGGAGAATGGCTCGTGAACCCGGGAGAATGGCGTGAACCCGGGAGGCGGAGCTGGCAGTGAGCCGAGATCGCGCCACTGCAGTACAGCCTGGGCGACAGAGCAAGACACTGTCTCAAAAAATAAGAATAATATAATAATAAAATACAATAAAAATAAAGGAATAAAAGAATGGCTCCTCCAGGTAGAGCAGCGGCTTGGGCTGTTCATTGTGATTATACTTACAGTTATTTCTTGATTATATGCTAAACAAGGGGTAGATTATTCATGAGTTTTCCAGGAAAGGGGTAGGCAATTTTCAGAACTGAGGGTTCCTTCCCCTTTTAGACCATATAGGGGAACTTCATGATGTTGCCATGGCATTTGTAAGCTGTCATCGTGTTGGTGGGTGTGACTTTTAGCATGCTAATGCATTATAATTAGTGTATAATGAGCCATGAGGATGGCTAGAGGTCACTCTCATCGCCATCTTGGTTTTGCTGGGATTTGGCTGGCTTCTTTAGTGCATATGCTGTTTTATCAGCAAGCTCTTCGTGACCCGCATCTCGTGCCAACCTCCTATCTCATCCTGTGACTAAGAATGCCTTAACCTCCTGGGAATGCAGCCAGTAGGTCTCAGCCTTATTTTACCAAGCTCCTATTCAAGACGGAATCTCTGTGGTTGGAATGCCTCTGACATATGTGTATGCCTTTAAAAAAAAAAAAAAGAAATGGGACTATGTGATCCATGCTCTTTTGTAACTTATTTTGTCTACTCAGGCCCATCCTTTGAGATTGTGGAATTTTCCACCCAGGGATGTTAGAAGCAAAACAAGTGGTTAATATGAGCACTGGAGACGGCAGAACCTGGCGTCTCTGTCACTTCCTTCCTGTGTAACACTGAGCCCAGTTCATTAACCTCCCCGCGCCTCAGTTTCCTTGCCTGTAAATTGCAAACAGGAGTGAGACAGCTGGTCGTGGTGGCTCATGCCTGTAATCGCAGCACTTTGGGAGGCCAAGGCGGGTAGATCACCTGAGATCAGGAGTTCGAGACTAGCCTGACCAACTTGGTGAAACCCCATCTCTACTAAAAATATAAAATTAACCGGGCGTGGTAGCAGGCACCTGTAATCCCAGCTACACGGGAGGCTGAGGCAGGAGAATTGAACCCGGGAGGCAGAGGTTGCGGTGAGCCAAGATCGTGCACTTGCACCCTACCCTGGGCAACAGGAGCGAAACTCCATCATAAAAATAAAAACACAAGTACAAATAAAATAAAAGACAGGAGGCCAGGCGCAGTGGCTCACACCTGTAATCCCAGCACTTTGGGAGGCCGAGGTGGGCGGATCACGAGGTCAAGAGATTGAGACCATCCTGGCCAACATGGTGAAACCCCGTCTCAACTAAAAATACAAAAATTAGCCGGGTGTGGTGGCAGGTGCCTGTAGTCCCAGCTACTCGGGAGGCTGAGGCAGGAGAATCGCTTGAACCAAGGAGTCGGAGGTTGCAGTGAGCTGAGATCACACCACTGCAACTGCACTCCAGCCTAATGACAGGGTGAGACTCTATCTTAAAAAAAAAAAAAAAAAAAATGTGAGACAGGAATAACACAGGCTGGTTACGGGAGAATAGGAAATTCCAGGCAGCAGTTTCACATGACTAGCAAAAGGAAACTGTTGACATAGTTGCAGCAAGTAGGGGCTGATAAGACTCTTGAAAACCCTAGGTGCGGACCAACCTGGCTAAGACATGCTGGATCCAACAAGGCCCTACATATGATCTAGGTCTCACCTAGGACCTCATTATATGCTCATTAACATAAACACACACCCATCAGCACCAGGACAGTTACGGGAACACCCATAGTTGGTGTAAAACTGGGTGGCACCACAGTTCTCAAAAATCTCCTTTTTCTAGAAATCTTCATGAATATTCCACTCCTTGATTAAAGAAACCCATAGTGCACGCCTATAGTCCCGGCCACTCAGGAGGCTGAGGCAGGAGCATTGCTGGAACCTGTGAGGCAGAGGTTGCAGTGAACTGAGATCGTGCCATTGCACTCCAGCCTGGCGACAGAGCGAGACTATTTCAAAAAAAAAAGAAGAAACCCATAAAGGTAGCAGCCCCAAACCCCCCTGCAGGAGACTCTCTTTCGAGTCCACCTGCACTCCTCTGCGTTGAGTGTGTACTTTTTACTTCGCAATACTTTGTACTTACAGTATTTTCCTACTTGTCCTTTAGTTCCTTCCTGAGATGGTGTCAAGAGCCTGGACATTGGCTGGGGTGGAGGTCCCACACCGGCGTATGGGGACTTCCCCTAGCCCACCTGTATCAAGAGTACTGACCTTGTCGCCTTACTCTTAGACTAAATGAGGTAAAAGCATAAACAGGGTGGGTTTCAAATAAGGTGCCTGATATGGTGGAACTATATTTATACTTTTTTTTTTTTTTTGAGATAAGATCTCACTCTGTCACCTAGGCTGGAGTGCAGTGGTACCATCTTGGCTCACTGCAGCCTTGACCGCCTGGGCTCAGGTGATCCTCCCACCTCAGCCTCCAGAGTATCTGGAACCGGCCGCCGCAGGCATGCGGGGGGGGGGGCCACCACCAACACAGCTAAATTTTTATATTTTTGGAGAGATGGGTTCACCCAGTTGCCTAGGCCTGTTCTTGAACTCATGGACCTCGGGTCAATCTGCCTGCCCTTTTTGGCCCCCAGGTGCCCGCGCTACGGCTCGACCCCGCATCCAGCCTGTTTTGTCTGTAATCGTTTAAAGTTGTTTCTAAGTTTCCACTATTAGAAAGCTGCAAGAGTCCTGACAATAGGCGAAGAGGAATTACAACACCTTTGAAGGCAAGTCACATAGCCCCTCATCTCGGGTTGTCTTACTGTAAATAGGAGAAAATCATTCTTCTTTCTTCCTTTCGCAGCTCTGTTCTCGTCACCGCGCTCACGCCTGCAGTGACCAATCTTGGCTTACTGCACCCTTCTGCCCTCCCGGGTTCAGAAGCTTATTCCTTGCTCCAGCCCTCCTAGTAGCTCCGCGCAATTCACGGGTGTGTGCCACTTGCCGCGGTTGATTTTTGTGCTTTGGTAGAGACAGGGTTTCACCGCTCTGGCGCCCGCCTGGTCTCACTCGCATCAGGTGATCCACCCGCCTCTCGGCCTCCCAACAGTGCTGGGATTACCAGCATGAGCCACCAACGCCCTGCTTGTCTTATTGATTTATTATGAGACGGAGTTTACTCTAGTACAGTGGCGTGATCTCGGCTCACTGCAACCTCTGGCCTGCCGGTTCAAAGCAATTCCTCCTAGCCTCCAGCATCCTGAGTGCTAGATTAACAGGCGCCCCGCCCGAACGCCAGCTAATTTTTTGTATTGTTTTAATAGAACAAGGGCCCGGGCCGCGGTGGCTTCAGCCTTAATCCCAAGCACTTTGGGAGCCAAGAAATGGGGTGGATCACGAGGTCAGGAGATCCGAGACAATCCTGGTTACACGGTGGAAACCCGCTCTACTAAAAAATACCAAAGCTAGCCGGGGGCGAGGTGGCGGGC